AATGCTGAAAGCTAAACTCGGGGCACAAAAACGTTTCATTGAAATATATAAATAAATAGCCACAAAGGATGAATTCTGACAGCGGCTGCCAGCCTCTGTCGTAATACCAGGACAGAGCTTGTAGCTGATTGGTAGCAAACTTCGTTCAGCCAAGTATTTTTCAACCTGCTCCTTCGATCAGCTGATCAAAGGATGACAGGCGGAATGGCGCCAACAGCGGCACCCACTGTGCAAATTTCCATATGAATCGGTCGAAATTCCATACATGTAAACCCTACTTAAGAATTTATACAAAACTAAAATGGGGGGAATTCATCAAAACTGGAGCAGGCAGAATCTGGAGCAGTTGTCCAGGGCAACCAATCAGCTTCTCTCTTCAGTTTGCTCAGTTAACCTTTGAAAATAAAAGACGCCGATTGGTTGCAATGGTCAGCTGCTCCAGATTCTGTCTGCAAGCAGTTTTTATGAATGCCCCCAAATGTGATTCATTTATGGAAAATGGAGCAGACAAAACTTGAAGCAGTGGTCCACCAACCAACCAATCCGCTTCTCTTTTAAGTTTGTTCAGTTTAGGTTTAAAAATGAAAGATTGACTCTGATTGGTTGCCACGGACAACTGCTCCAGATTCTGTCTGCTCTAGTTTCGATCAATTCCCCCCAATGACTCATCTATAAAAACACATCAAGAAGGATTAGACTCCAGCCTTTATTTTTCGAATACAAAATTGGAAAACAAAACGCTCATATCGCCGCCATGGACAACACAGATATTTATGTTTATGGTTCAGTTCTCAGATGCATTGCTGTGCAATGTGCTCCATTTTCCAGAAGAGGCGAAAAACACGGGAAGAATTCTTTGCTTTCACTAGGCCATCGCCTTGGAAACAAGTCCGGCTCCAAGCATTGTCCAACATTTTGCCATTCAGAGGCAACTGAATGAGTTCCTTTGAAAATGCAAAGTCTGAAAATGCATGTGAACACACGTAAAGCCTCCTTTCACACTTGTGTGTCCGCACAATCATGCATTTTTTTTGCAGTGTGCGTTTTTTTATACGCTTATTAATGCACATTTTTGATGCATTATAATATTGCTATCATGCTTCATGCATTTTATGTTTTGTTTTGGCCAATGACAAGAAATATCTGCTGTGACATCATTAGGCGTCATCTTCCCGGTATCTGCTTCCTGCTTGTTCAGTGTCAAGTTGTGTCGTTGTGCTTTCGGAGTCATGACATGTTTTATGGCAGCAGCCGCGGCCTGTGGCGCTTGTAGCGATCCTTGGAATTGTGTTCGCTCGATCGTTCAGCAGTGTCCTTGCCCTCAACGGACATATTAGTTCCTCCACCCAGGGGCTTCCCCATAATTAGGCAGCCGGAGGCAATAGTCTCAGGCAACATCTTATTTCGGGAGCAGCAGGTGGGGGGCGGCAGCACAGCCGGCTAACAGCACCCCGACCCCCTTCCCTCGAGCTGTCAGACGCTGCTCCCCTGCCCAAATGAAAGCTTGGCTGGCCACCACCGGCCGCTGCCTCCCGCCCGACTGACACCTCGGCCTAACCCACCACTGTCTTCTTCTCTTGACTGCTTTAGGCAGCGAATAAAGTAGGACCGGCCCTGCCTTCTCCAGAAGAATGGTACGGCCTCCTCACTCCATCTTCCTGTGAAGCCTAGCTAGAGTAGAGGTTGCTATGAGGAGAAAACTGGTTGTTATGTCCAAACCATGAAATAAAAGTGCTAAAATGCAAGTCTATGATGCCAAAAACGCACTGTGCAGCCCCAAAGAAGCACCTGCACCTTTATTCTATTTGCAACGCATAAGTGTGAATGGGCTCCAAAGAAAACAATGGGATTATGAGCACTGTTGCACAACAAATCACACAGGTGTGAATGGGGACTAAAGCTGAACTGCAGGCAAACCGCTAAATATGATTGAAAGACATGCCCATGAACTGTTTAAATGCCAGGGGATGTTTATTGGTAATCCAGGCGTTCCTAACAGACACCATAGTTTCAGGAAGGTCAAGTATGCAGCCGAGACATGAGATCTGCTCATGAGCATGGTTGTGAGGAAGGTCAAGTACATGCCCTGATGTCTGCGCATGTGCATAGCCCATGGCATAGGGTCAAGCAGCATGTACACCTGCACGTAGGACTGCGTACACTAATGTGCATGTACATGCTGGACTGCCTTTGGCGCCCAGAGGCCTATTTAAATACAAGCTCTACTGAAGCTGACCTGCGTTCTGGCTTCCCTGGGCTCCAACCCAACTTGCTCGCACTGTCCATTGTTGATCTTGACCTGTATCATGACCTCGCTTCACGCCTGATGTTCTGTTCCCCGGCTGTTGCTGATCCTAGCTTATCGTCATTATGGCTCTTCTTCAGGCACCCATTGGTTTCTTGACTGCCCATTGACCTAGCCTCACTACAGGCACCCATGCTACTCCTTGCCCTGCTTTACCCTGATCTCAACTTTAGGTGGTATTGGACAGGGGGTTTAAGGGAAGCCCTCTCATCACTCGACCTCCATCAGGTACATGACACATAGCCAGGTCAGTGACCTCACTTTTCTCTATGGCAGCTGAAGCAATACAACCTGGTCACCAAAATGCTCCCAACTTGTGACAGGACAATGGAGGAGAAGTAGCTTCCTGATAATGTCAGCACTCTGCTCTCTCTGCCTGTAAGCATGTTGAGATTGTTGGTTGGCATAATTGTGGAAAGCAATAGAACCCTGATTGATTCACTCTCTGCCTGGGTGAGAGGTACTGCTACGGTAGGGGATTTAAAGAGTTATCTATCAGGGCAGATTTAGGTGTTTAAGCTGGTTCTATATGGAATCACAGGAAGCTTAGTGTACAGCAAATCCTACCATTGCCAAAGTCAAACTTTTTATTTTTTGGGGGATTAAAACTGCTGTCATATTTTCCATCACTGTCTCATTAGGGAGACACTTCCTGCCCTGCAGACTCAACAGGAAGTGAGAAGAGATCTTTCCATTGTGAAGGAAATCCTCTCTTAGGCAGTTGTCATGGGAATAAGTGTCCTCTTTGGAAGATTTCCCCTCTGTCCTAGTCCTGGTGACAACTCAAAATATATTATTTACATTGGTGTTCAGGATTATAGAGAGAGCGAATCTCCCTAACAGGGATGCAGATGCTAATAACAACATGTCTGGGGTTTTATACCTTCACCTTTCTATCCAATTCCCAAAAAAATATTTGACTTTAGTTATACTTTAACTAGAGTAGCAAACAATCCTAAAAGAAGGTGCCCTGCAAGAGAAGAGCTCTTATACTCACTTCTCTGGTGACCCGTGTCTTCTACCTTTCCTACATTTCAGCACTGCAGTCTCCGTCAGTCCCTTCAACATTTGCCACTTTTTCGGCGCTGGGATATGTGACCCGCAAAAAGTTAAGAATTCCAGCTGTTCCAGGACAGATCGGCATCGCAGATGGTATGTGCGGGAGAACCGATCTGCCCTGGAATAGCTGAGATCGGTCCTAAAATGTCACTTCTATCCAACTTTGTGACTGCGATCTCACATTCTACAAAGTCGGATAGAAGTGACATTTCAAGACCGATCAGCTGTTCCAGGACAGATTGGTTCTCCTGAACATACCATCTGCGATGCCGATCTGTCCTGGAACAGCTGAGAAAGCGTTGGAATTCTTCACCTTTTGCGGTCACATATTTTACCTCAGAAAAAATGGCCGGGCTTACGTTAAAATGTGTGACCGCTCACACATTCTAACACAGTCACAAACTTTAAAAGAACACCGGCAATATGAGTTTGCATCAAGCCCTTGCGCATCACTAGTTGAGATGAGCCTGGGCTTGGTGTGAACCCAGTTCACCCAAGCCAGCTCAAAACTGTGATGCCACCAACTTCCTGACCAAATCAGTGGTGGCAGTTGCGGCAGGGGCATCCCCTGCCCCTTTGTGACGTATAGCTGTGGGGCAGGGAATGTGCCTCTCTGCAACTAATTAGGTTGGGAGGAGGGGTAGCGGCCACAGTTCTGAGCAGGCTTGGGTAAACTCGGGCAAACTGGGTTCACACCAAGTCCATCCTCCTCACTAATCACTAGTTGTCACTGTCACAGGAGCTTTGAATGTAGACTTCAAGTGACCTGAGAAATGTCACGTAGTTATCACTGGAGACAGGAAGTGGCAGCGGGAGATCAGCAGCACTGGGATGCAACAAAGGATGTAAAAAAGAGGAAAACAAGCATTTTAGCAAAAACAAAAACCGACCAATTCTTTATGACACGCAGGACTTCAGCTAACTAAACGGCATTCAGTTATGCTTTACATCTCCTTTCATTCATTTAAGCAACCACTGGTTTAATAATTGCAGGTCCCCGTCTATAGGAGACCTTCAGGGCTGCCACTTGGCCAGTAAAAATGGGACCTGTTGCCAATATTCTTGGTAGGGCAGATATCATGAGGCTAGTAATCCATCCAGAAAAGGTGCCACATGTGGACTAAAATCACACAGCCTTGGCCTAGCAGAGGTCTACAAAGAGTTGGGTCCTTCAAATCATGAAAACGCTTGATTGGACCATGGTGGCAAATGCGCCGAAATTCTCGAATATGGTCGCAGAGGATCACACCAGCAGAGACATTTTGCCTACACTGGGTCATTGTAGAGTTTAAACAAAAGCCTTCCTGACTTTGATGAGCCAGTGGTCTTGCTGTGTCACGTTAACCCTCCGACTGCTGCAATCCAACCCATCTGCTGAGCAGTCGTGTAAAGTTAGATCACCCATCGCCCCCAACTAACCATAGGAAGCTTTTCACAGTAATATTGAAAGGTCACGTGAAAAGAAAGGAAATGGTTTGCGGTCTATTAGAGGAAATCACATATTACAACACAAGAGAAAAAAAAAAATAACGAAGACCCTCAGTATAATCCCCCGGAGCGGTGACACAGAGCAGTTGGCTCTTTAAATGAACTAGACATAGGAAAAGGGTAGAGTCATGCTTTTGAGGTCTTCAATACAGCAGATGCAGGGAGGGGAGTGAATGTAAAAGGCTAGGAGGAGGAGGAGGGGGGATGGTGAGCACCAGATTGTACCTCTGAGAGGGGAGCATCTGTCACTCTCCATCTTGCTCCTACCCCAACCACTGCTGGTTCTGCTGCATCTCTGACTCCCAGCTTGGCTGCGACTGCAAGGTATGCATTGCCACCCTGGCTGGCTGTATGGGCTTGTCAGGATTTAGGGTATGTGTGTGCGAGCCTGGCTGGATAGCTGTGAGTTTAGCCGGCTTGGAGCATGTGTGTGCATAGTGGGAGATGCTGAGCGGAGTGGAGACAGTGCTTTAGCTGGCTCCTTTGTTCTGGGGACCCTCTGCTGTCTTTTTTTTTGACACTGCTGCAAAGCTCACTGCACCAAATCCACAAAGCTCAATGAGCAAATGTGAGAATTGCTTAGGCTGAATGAGAACAACTATAATAAAGTTTTTCTCTTACAAAGGTTAAATATCCATCTGAATATTGGGCAACAAGGCTTGATCAAATACAGGTAGGTCTTTTTAAGTGTGTGAGTGTGTAAATGTATATAATTATTGTATATGTAACTACAGCAACCCAAATGATCAAGCAGTCATACAAAGTATACATGTATAATTCTATTGTATCCATTTGGCTCCCCAACACAGCATTGCAATGGATGAAGTCTCACCCTTTACTTCACATTCTATTGTCTAATTGGGGCCAGCTGTAGATTAGCCATATAAAAGAAAAGCCAACACCCCCTTGGTTTGCCTATTCCCCAAAGCCCACCGGTACAGGTTGGGAATACACTTAACACGGCACGAAGGGTACACAGCTCGCACACTGACGCTACTCGTGGCATATTTTAGGGTACGCTCCACTTTGATTGGGTTTTTGCTATGCTTTATAGGATATCACAGTATACAAAATGCTTTTTCTTATTGCGATTGAAAGAATTGTATCCAGAAGATTGTGAGAGTGGCACATAGACAATGGCTCTGATTGTACATATCAATTGACTGTTGCATCTATCAATATCCAGAATCGTGTGCACAGTATTAACCTATATGGTGCCCCTGTGTACTATATGTAACGTTTCCTTGCAGTATAATTGCTTTTTGTGGGATTGCATGCAGCCAATTGTAAGAGCTCATCATACACCCTATTTTGGATTGTTCTGATCCAGTGAGTATATAATGGATTATAATTCAGAATCCTGACCGTAGCATGTATCTTATTATATGATCCCATCACAGGCAAATGTTTCTTCCAGTATTATTGTTGTTTGTAGGATTGTATTGAGCCAATTGTAAGACCATATACACTAATATTCCTGATTTGTACTGATCTATTGACTGTATTGTGGATCGATATTCAGAATATGACCGTAGCATAAACCCTATTTTATGATCCCATCACAGGCAAATGTTTCTTCAAGTATGAGTGCTGTTTGAAGGATTGTATTGAGCCAAGTGTTAGATTACCCCACACACAATTTGATTGTAGGTCTATTGACTGCAATCCATACACAAGCATTTTGATTGCACAGATCTATTGGCTGCACACCATATACAAGAATTCTGATTGCACAGATCTATTGGCTGCACACCATATGCAAGAATTCTGATTGCGCAGATCTATTGGCTGCACCACATATACAAGAATTCTGATTGCACAGATCTATTGGCTGCACCCCATATACAAGAATTCTGATTGCGCAGATCTATTGCTGCACCCATATACAAGAATTCTGATTGCGCAGATCTATTGGCTGCACCCCATATACAAGAATTCTGATTGCACAGATCTATTGCTGCACCCATATACAAGAACTCTGATTGCACAGATCTAGTGGCTGCACCTCCCCATATACAAGATCTCTCATTGCACAGATCTATTGCTGCACCCATATACAAGAATGCTCCTTGCAGAGATCTATTGGCAGCACCCCATATACCAGAATTATCATTGCACAGATCTATTGGCTGTACCATTAATTAATTTTGTTTTATTTTTTATTTTTCCTGATTTGATAGAATCGTTAAAAACCCAATCTAAAAGATAGTAAGATCACAACACATACAATGTTACTGATTTGTACAAATCTGCTTACTGCAGCATAGCTCAATATTCAGATTGTATCATATTTATTGAAACACACACTGAAAAGGGGTGTTAAAGGAAACCTGATTACAGGTATTAGAGTGTTAGCTCATGGACCACATGACAAGTATTTTGAATAGGTGGTTATTTTGCCAGGTAAACGTAGCTGTAATTGCTGCTGATTCTGCAGTAGCCAGGGGGTTGTCCGAGGAGCTTGCTTTTGATCTGTCAAGCGATGAGATTTTGGTAAACTGGTATTTGTCATTTTATTTTTTCCTGCTCTTACTGTAAGTCAGAGCGCAGATGTCAGTTTTGCGTGATAAAACACTACCAATCCTACTATTAACTCCCCCACATAACAATAATTGTAATTAAATCAATTTGCATCTGGTACATTTGATCTCTCCCATCTGCCGGTACATAATGGAGCATAACCCTTCAGCTTCCGCTGGTCCCCGCCCCAAGGTGACAGGGAAAGGGTTAACAATGGCTGCCTACAGCACATGTGCCATAGGATGTCTCGGTGTCTATTGTTTCATGTGTAACCCCTGATGTGCTGTATCCCCCCTCCCCACCCCCGCTGCTTTTTTTTTTTTTCCTGCCCCGTTGTGTCACACATTAGGTTAATGCACTGCTCATGCCAGGAGCCTTTTATCAGCTGTGAACACTGAGACAATTAAAGTGAGCCAGAGCCAAATGCAGCATTACTTGGGCTATGTGGAGGGGGGAAAAAAGGGGTATTGATTTGTAAGTGTTCTATTTTTTTAAGATGCTGCAGATAGACACAGATTGGAGCATCGTTGCCAGTGATGGTAATTGCAGGGCCTGGAGGGAGATGTTTTTATATAGCAAAGACCATCCACCAAACAATGGGCCTGCGATGGGTCAGCTTTGGCTCACATAGCACTGCTACAGGATTGCGTATCTCAAAGAGCTTCATAAATGGTATTCACAGCTTTTTTGTGGATACACTGACTGCGAGCAAAAATATGATTGAATTATGATGTCTGAAGAGTTGATACGCATAGCATTTTCTGGTTTACAAAGGTGATTTAGGAAAACTGCATTTGAGAAACCAGTCATCTGTTAGCTTTGGGTTCCTGGGGGTTTTGCTGTCAAATGCATGCTTTTATATTCAACGGTAGTGCAGCTGGAATGCAAAGGGCCCTGCTTGACCTGTTTTCTTGGCAATGCAAACCCATTTCCAAAGGGACATTGGGCATTCAGAGGAACGCAACACAAAGCAGATCAAAAGCATCCTCTGAACGGTCATCCACATTGATGATGATCATTGATGTAAATGGCCATCTTTTGAACTGCCTTTGCCATGCAATTTTAACGCATGTAAAAACGCAAGTCCTTCTACAATCTGGCTCTGATTTTAGAACACTAGAAGCAAAAGCGTAGCTGTTGGCCATAGCACCAGACCTTTTGGAGAGGAACTAAAGAAACTGGAGCAACAGTATAGTTGCCAGTTGGTTTTATCTTTCCAGTGACGTCTGGACTCTATCTGATATGGCTAACAATCTTGGTGTGGCATATGGCTAACAATCTTGGTGTGGCATATGGATAACAATCTTGGTGTGGCATATGGATAACAAGCTTGGTGTGGCATATATCAGCCCCTTTTGACTCCTCCTAGAAAGATACATTTGGCTGGCTGCTTTGGCCAATGGCTACCATTTTCCCCATTTGATTGTATCTGGATTGTTTGGTCAGCTGGTGTATTGCATGCCTGGAACAAGCCAGGATTGAAGCATCTCTGCAGTAGTTTGTGTCTTGATCCACAAGGCCATAATGAAACTTTTGGGATCTAGACCCTCCCAGTTATTAAAGTGAATCTGTTAGAAAACTGGCCAAGCCCAACTGAACATATGATAGGAAAATTGTTTAAGCAGATGTTACTCTTGGTGTACACCTCATAAACGATCTGTAGTTCCTGAGATCTGGGCAGCTGTCTAAATCGTAAAAGGTTCTTGGCCCTGCCTTTTGGTCCTTTAAATGCATGTTGGGTGGCCCCCTTGACTGAGGCAGCAGGGCTAAACCCAAACTTTACAAGAGTCAGTAATTTTACATAGCTTCAATCATTTGAAGGTACGTACTCGTGGGCTGTCCATGATTTGTTGAGCATATGACCTAGAGCAAGCACAAGCATGTCAGATCTCAAACACCTAATATGCAAAAGTTTGTTCTGGGTCAATTGCTTACTAAAAAAGTAAAAGGGAACCAGCTCCTTTTTTAAGAACAAGTCAAAAATGGCATAATAATCATGATCATATTTTTTTTTTATGGAGGTGATTTTCTGGCACTAGGGTCTCTGATCATTATGTAAAACCATTGTCTGATTTGACTTTTAAGCTTTTAAGCAACCATGTAGAGCTTAAAGGAAACCTGTAGAGGAGAATGTATAGGCTGGTACTGCTGATCAACTTTTGGAAAGTGATAACTGCATGGCTGTCACTGGCTTCAGTACTTGCTGAGTCATCAACCTATATAAAGCATGCAGCCAAGTGGGGTAAGGGCAAGGTTGGAACACCTGATCTGCATACTTATTGCAGATCAGTGACTCAAAGAGCTTCATTTATAAAATCGGGTGGATGCCGTTCACACGGCACTAGCGCCCCTAGATGGCACTAATATAGGAAATTCCGATATTAGTTAGCACCATCTAGGGGGGCGCTTGTGGCGTGCAAATGGTATAAACCAGGATGAAGTTTTATAAATTAAACCAGTGGATGAGCATAAAGCCAAGCAAATTATGGTTGTGGAGAGAGCCTCAGTGGCACCCTCCATATTTCTCCCAGCACAGGTTTTCATTAAATGTTGGAATGGATCTGCCTTTTATTTGTGGTGGGATGCATTTTATTAACTAAAAAATCTACTGGGAACATTATGGTATTATACTGGTGCTTGACCGAACAAAATGGCATTTAGACTGTACTGAAAGGACACACAGAAACATGAAGAGGAAAAAGAAACTATTTTGGAATGTTGGTTCTTGCCAAATATTTGCTTGAATTGTAAGATGTGATTAATGTGGCGCAGACGTGTACATTTTAGTTCATTCGTTGAACTTTGAAGGATTCAGACCTTTTGGAATGTCATTAATGAGCACAAGGTCATAGACTCACTTTCTTTAAGATCGCTTGGTGGGATCACATGTATTTTGTGTGACATTCTTAAGTGTTGGCATTAGTGGTTGACTTGACACGCATGCAAATTTCATCAGTGTCAAGCAGAAAGCATGACGGTGCTTTTCTAGGTCAAGGCCATGTAAAGAAACACTTGTATTTGTCTATATATGTAGCATATTGAACATGGGAATGTGGCCGTGGAACATGTCCCGAGGCCCTGAGAACCGGACAGACCCCTCTGAACGGCGGTCCACCGCTTCCCCTGACCAGCCAAGGGGGTTTCGCCCTCCCGGTACCGGCCCGCACTGGGCACTGAAGGGGGAAAGGAAGCCAGCCTCATCTCCTGCAGCGCTAGGAGAATCCCTGGGGCTCCACAAGGTAGGCAAACCTACCCCTCTGCCTTACACAGGCAGGCCAACAAGGAAGACTTCCCGGGCAGCATCACCACATGGAAGCCCTCTCTCAGCGTTCTGTGACGCGCTCCCCAGCTTGACTGAGGAAACACAAAAGACTGAGGGAGTGGAGGAGAGGAGGGTCTTTTAAGCAGATTAAGTGACGTGTTTCCTGTGTGTGGGGGAGGAGATTCCATCTCGTGATGCTGTCCTGGAAGACGTTATGGGAAAGACTATATTTGCTATAGATAACGGTAGAGTAGTGTCCAAAGTCACAGAGATAATAAAGTCAAAGTTGCTGCCTGGGTTACTAGGTGAATCACAGGGTTACTAAACCTGTAAATACTAAAGCATTCATTAATAATAGAGGCCGTTTCTGCACAGACTGGATAGAGAACTAGGCTGGAAACCATTTTGGAAGTCTAGAACTTGGTTATTTACCAGCTAGAAACCACCCACATTTTTAGGGGTTTTCCAAAAAGTTCATAATTCACAGATGCCATGCATCAATGAAGTCATCCTTCAATGGACAGCTGGGCCTTTTGTGTGGTCACGGTGGCATACCGTTCCATAAAATCCTGAACACTGGGGGTGTAGGCGTTTGGTGAGGTCTAAAATAACCTCCATAATTGCCTTTTGTGCTGCTGAGTGCCACTCCATTGCTGAGAAATGGGTCCCCCCTGAAGTCTGCTGGGAAACAGACACTTCCTGGATGGTCAGTATCCTGGGTTACCCACAGCTCTCACTGATCTTCTACTGACTTCCATGTTAATACTGTATCCTGTAATGTTGTGGAAGGCAGTAGGAGAGACCAGTGAAAGCTACAGGGGACCCAGGAGATCAACAATCCTGGAAGTGTCGGTTTCTCAGCTACAGGTCGGCGATTGGAAGCACTGGCAGCAGGAACGACAAGTACACTTCTACAGATAGATATTTTCTTGGAAACTTTAGTTTCAGGGTTGCTTTTAAAGAAATCTGTCTGTTTAGAAATATGGGGGCAGCTATTGCTATTTTCTTGCATGAGTACTGAAAGTGGACCTGTGTATCGGAGCTCTCGATCTGCATGTTGGTCCCAAGTCAGTGACTTTGTTCTGCTGTTAGATCAGTAACTTCTAATTTCAGAAGGTGAAGTCAGCAATGGTGACCGCCATACGTCTCAGTACAGGTTTCCTTTTAAAGCAAACCTGGTTTTTGTCTATGAAGGGCAAAACAACAAATTTGCTTTAATACCCCCTTTTTACTTCATTTACCTGGTACTCAGCTGCAGGAGAAATGAAGCCTTGTGTAAGCACCTAGTGGGTAGAGAACGCACTACTTGCCCCAATGTGACCAAGCACCTGTGCTGTTACATAAGAGGAAGGGGAGTGAGTCCCATGATCCTCTATACCCCAAAGTACCAGGTATTTTCCTCACTTCTGGCAGCTGAATGTGGCTACCAGGAAGAGAAGGAAAGGCGAGTATATGCTACCGAAATAGGAGGGCAATAAACCAGATCTGTTGCTTAAATGGACAAGGCGCAGGTTTGATTTAAAGCTGAGCTCCAGGCAGAGTTAAACACAGATGAAATATCTATAGGGGAACTATTTGACTTGCCAAAGGAATTTGTATTTCATTCCATCCATCCCTGAGATTTGCACACAGCACAGCCCCGTGCTGACCTGGTTTTACTCTACTGCAGTTAACACTTGTAGGTCTGGTTCTTCCCCCAGCCTGTGACTGTACAGTGTATGGAGGAGGAGCAGCAGACAAGTGAGCTAATCTCTCTCACTTGGTTCTCCTATCACAATGTTCCTGTACTGCAGAGCAAATGACTGGCTCATTGCAACCCCCTTTTTGAGCTTTGATGTTCAGGGAACGCAACAGGTTGACGCCAATCAAATTCGGATACTTGTGTTAATGAATACATAGCTGTATTAATGTTCCATTTACATCTGCCTGCCTGAGGTCCAATTTTAAGAATGATAGAGGTTCAAGGAGCAGTTTAGAAAGAAAATGCAGAACATAAAGTGAACACACAACTCATACCTAAGGGGAAGTGGTAGGTAGGCTCAGGCCCAGGGGCAATTGGGCAGTCTGTACTCCCTGAAGAACAAGGCGCATGCATGGCGGTAAAAGATAGTTGATTTCAGCATTGGCTTAGGGCGTGTTTTTTTTACTTTGCAGATGTGCATACATAAATACATTCAAATTCCAAATGAACCAAACTAGTACAGCTCATAGAATTCAGATACATGTAGCGTATACAGATTGTACATAGACATTTACATTCTAGTGCTTTGATTGCCCAACTATACTACCTAGTTGCTTAGAGACTGAGTGCTACAGGTAGACACATTCATTTAACATTTGGGTCAAATTTTAACCAAAATTCATGTTAAATGTGTCTAAATTGAAATTCACAGCAGGCATTCCTTTAACAGTATTTGGTGGTAATTTTATATAGAACCCAACTGAGGTGCTTGATCAAAAGAAGGGAAATATATATTAAAAGGGTGATTGTCATAATAATGGATTTCTATTTAAGTGTCTGGGGTCAAAGAATGTTCACTTATGAACATTTATAATATGATCTCTTGATTGCAGCAGGCTTCCTGTATGTGTGTACCTGCTTCCACTTACTGTAGGTTCATCGACTAGGCAGCAAGACTTCAGTAGATGCAGAAGCCTCATTATCTTTTTGATTTTCCGACATGTGCAGAATAAGAGAAGATTGATAAATATTAAGAAAGACTTGATTGAGCATGTGCCAAATGCTGCCTAGCTGAAGCCAAGAATTCCCAATGCAACAGCCTCTTGTCTTGCAAGAAGAGGCAAGCTGGCCATCTGTCAACATTTATAGCTCATTAAAGAAAGTAACGCTGATCGTGGGGGTGGGTCTCAGGCTTCCAGTTATGGGACTGGCATCCTCGTCCTCTACATTACCTTGAGAGTTGCATTTGGCACACTGACCCATCGGCTAGCATATGCCAAGACTGCTTTTAGTGGCTGCCATCTACAGTAATGGGCTTTATTTTACCTTGGAAAAAGAAAAGGTTAGCTTTGTGTGTGTTTTAAAAATACCATCTTCACTCATTCCTTTTTTTTTTCTTCCCTGCAGTAAATAACAATGGGAGCAAAGCTAAGTAAGAAAAAGAAGGGATACTGCCTTGGTGCTGGTAAAGATGGAGAGTCGACAGAGACGACTGAAGTAGAACAAAAAGAAGCTGAGAATCAAGAGGGACAAAAAGATGCAGCAGAACCAAAGGGAGAAAAATCTCCCACGGACCAATCTCAGAACAATGGTGTAAATGAGGGACCGAAAGACAGAAAGTCTGATGCAGAGATTACAACTGGTGAAACAACCAAAGATGAGTCAAACCAAGACCAAAAGCCAGAGATCAAATCAAGTACAGAACAAGAGAAGGTAGACAAGAATGACCAACTGCAAGGTAAAAAAGAACATGATGAGGGTAAAACGGCTGCCCCAGAGGAGGCATGTGAAAAGGAAAAAGAGGTAGAAAGTGCATCTGAGGATAAAATTAAAACCGAACGTGAAGCGAAGGAAACTCTGACAGTTGCTGCAGATAAGCCAACTCAGGAATCCAAACTGGTGAAAGACTGTAAACAGCCTCATTCATCTGAGACCAAGCAATTGAACCCTGTGCAGGATGAAGCAGAGGTCAAACAGGTATCAGAACCAGTGGCAAAGGTGGAAGCAGAAAAGACTGAGAAAGCTCCTGTGCCTTTGGAGACAGAAGTCCACATCTTGAAAAGAGCTGCAGAAGTGCCTACACAGGCTAACCAGTCTGTTGTAGAGCCAGAAAAACTGGAAAAAGTGCCTGAGAAAGTGGAACCATCCACCCCTGAAAGTGTGCGTGTAGAGCCTGTGTCTGAACCAGTTGTGGAGGCTGTAGTGCCAGAGCCTGTCATTAAGACAGAGGTAGTAGAAGCCACATTTTCGAAACCTGTCCAGTTAACAGAAGAAAAGGTGGATTCTGCATTGCCTAACTCTGATCCCACTTTAGAGCCAGTGCATTCTGTGTTACCTGAACCAGTAGCAGAACCAGTGGAGCCTGCATCAAAAGAGCCTCATCTAGCACCAGAACCTTCACTGGTCCCGGCAACACAACCAGAGCCTTCACTGGTCCCAACACCGAAACCAGTTAAGTCTGCATTGCCAGAGGCAAACCCAGAGATAAAAGTCGAGGAAGCTGTTTCTGAGCAGCCTACTGCTCTTCAAGAACCAGAGAAAGACCCAGAACCTGTGCTTAGTCCTGCATCTGAAAATATAGGTGATGCTAAGCATGAGCAAGAATTAACTTCTGCACCACTGCCACCAAAATCATCTGATGTGCCTGATGAAACTGCTGAGGCTGAAAAACTCACTGAGAACCAGGAATCATTAGGGTGTGGTGATCAGGGCATAGATGTAGTTACAATTGAGGTACCTATTATTGAAGCTGCTTCTATAAAGCAGCCATCAGAGATCTCGGAGCAACATGCTGCTACTGAGGCTCCTGTATTACAAAATGGACCTTCAGAGAACTCTGCAGAAGATTACCCTGTAGAAGCCCATCCTATCTCAACAGAGCTGAAGGTAGAGAACAAAGAAGAACAAAAAGAGGTTGTGGAAGAGAATGGTGACTTAGATAAGCAGTCAACACAGCAGGAAAGTCAGGTGGTGACAGATTGTAGTGCTCCAATAGATGTCTTGGTGACTTCAAAGAATGAAAAGGGCTACACAACTGCACAGGATACCCATGATGCATCTCAACACTGCAATTCCGAAGACAAAACTGAAAACCACGACTCCTCTGCCGAAGAAGTAAAGAATGAAAACAAACCACCTGCTCCAGAGATCTTGGAAAAACATGGTGTCGGAAATGGTTTACCTATCAAAGAAGAAATTAAGGTTCATCTAGAGAACAACTGTGACAAAGACCTTCATGACCTCAACGGGCCTAGCGAAAGTCATGAGATTCAAGTATGCAATGAATAAACGCATGGATATGTTTTTTCCTGGTTCAAATGGTGAAATAATGCAAAACATCCACGATCTAAACTGTCTACATTGTCTGTGACCAAATTGTTCATGAAAGTTTTAAAAAAGTTTGGAAGTAACATTCAAAATCGCACCCCGACCAAATCTTTTACTATTGACTGATCTATTCGGAATCTGCCAAATTTAATATATCTTATCTTATGCAAGTTCCCAAGATATTTATAGATATCCATGTTTTCTATCTGCTCATTGGACATATTAATGTTCCGAAAAGCCAAATGTGAGAAAAGTGACCAACGCCTATGAAACAAATTTGTTGTGAGCTTAACCCAATGTTCAAATTGTCTTTAACGCATGAACCATGTTTTCCACAAATAAAATGTCATATTTAAGTTTATGCTGCTTCATGAATTGTTTAAGGGTCCATTCACACCACATCCAGATCATCTCCAGACCAGACCCGATTGTTACCGGATCCAAAATGCATCCTAATGTCTCCCTATGTTATTTCTGGCCTCTGCTCACACCAGCGCAGTCCGTTCCAGACCAGAAAAATACTGCACGTCTCATTTTGTCTGGTCTGGAAAGCACTGGAACTGTGGGCAGGTTCACACCATTTTCTGGACCAGATCTGGTCCAGAAAATGGTGTGAACCTGCCCTAAAGGTGATGTATGAAAGTGTGGTGGTCTGTAGTAGGTCTCCTATTACATTTTTTTTATTTCTTCCGCCATCACCAGAAGAAGGTAACACTCATCTGCTTAGGGTGGCTCCACTTTATGGAGGAGCAATGGAGACACCCTTGGACAGCAGCAATGTCAACCTGGTGCAGAGGGTAGAGTTTATAGAATGTCCAAGGACTAAATTGATTCTTGCAGCAATGCACAGATCCACAAAATCAATTTTTTCACTTGACTTTTCCACCCTTACATTGTGCAAGTCCTCCACAGACGGTGACTGACTGTTTCAGTCTCTGCTATTGTCAGAGAATTAACAGAAAAACAAAAGTTTCCAGGTGGATGGATTAAAGCTGAACTCCAGGCTATACAAAAGGCCTGTGTATTCTTGAATCTTGGGGCTTCATTTATAAAACTTACACCAACTATACACTAGACAAATGCTGTTTGCACAACACTAGCGCCCCTAGATGGCACTGACGAGTACAGGATTCTTGGGGCGTTAGTGTCATGCGACTGGCATATAGCTGGGCGGAATTTTTTTATGAACTAAGCCCTTGGTCCAGGGGCATAACTAGAAATCACAGGGCCCCGTAGCAAAATTGTTGCTAGTTATGCCACTTGCAGAGCCCACCTGAGTGACCCTGCAGAGCCCACCATGCAAAGCCCGCTCTATAGCGGGCTTTGCAGGGTCTCAGATGGCTGCATACCTCTCACGTGTCAGAGCTGTCCGCCTCCATGGTCGCCGGGCCCCGCCTCCTCTTCCGCCCCGGCCCTGCCTCTTATCGACGGGCCCGCCTGCTCTTTGGTCGCTGGCCAGTGATGTAAGAGGAGGCGGGGTTGCTCTTAGGTGGGCCCCGCCTCCTTCACTGCGAACGCCGGCCTCTTCTGCTGCTGGTTGTCGCTGACACCGCTCCTCGGCGGCTGTGAGGGGAAACGCACCGCGGCCGCTGCACACATCACTGACAGGTTGTCAATGATCTTCACAGCCGCTACTGAGTTGTGTCGGTGACAGCCAGCACCCTTACATGCCATAGCGACCCAGGCGGCCCACACGGAATCCGAGGGATGCCCTGGCCGGGCCCCCCTGTGCCCGGACCCCATAGCGGCAGTCTGGGTCGCTATGGCGATTGTTACACCACTGCCTTGGTCTATTTCTTCCGCATCTGATTAGTAATTAAGCATGAAACTCCTGCACTTTCTTCTGTGCAAAGTAACTCCAGTAGACACCGCTCCAAGCTTGATCCCGTGATGGACTACAATCTCAATACAAATAAGTAAACTAAACGTGAGATTGACTATCACAGGAGTGAACTTGGAGCGGTGGCTACTTTAGAACACACATGGGGAACATACGTAGCCGCCCACTAGACAGGTGATGCACAAATAAGATACATTTTTGTTAATAGTTGGGGTACCTGAATGTATTTTTGAGATTTAACTCCTGAGTCTAGTGTCACTTTAAAAAAAATATGAACTGATTTTAAATGTTCTTTTTATTTCCCTCGACTGTTTACGTTCATAATCTTAGCAATCCTGTCTCGTGCGTTTGAAATAATTGAACATGTTGGATCCCAGCATGCAATTGTTTCCCCCACTGAGCTCGAGTCAATTATATGACGAGCACATTTTAAGCTGCATTCTGGGTACCTTTTTACAGTACATTTCCAGAGTCTTGTTGCATGAGTTTACATGCTTAGACCAGTCATGATCATCCTCCTTCCCAAGTGGCAGTTTGCATAGGTTTATGCCATTGCTTTCTTGCAGGCGTACCTCTACATCTCATGATGCCGCATGTATAGCAACCATATTAGTTGGTAAGATTTATAAACGCAAGTTTACCTGTAAAGCAAACCTGTCTTCAGAGGCTAAAATTGCTGATGTCTTCTGAAGATGCTTGGCGTCAAGCCAACTCTTGCCAACAGTGTACTTTCATGGATAAGAGTACACATACAGTCGCTTTCAAATAAATGAACTGAGAACATTTTTGTAGGTATACCAAGTTCCTAATCCTGGCACATGGCCAGCCTTGGTTTGTGGATTCTTTAGTGCTTTGAGAAATGCAAGAACAGCACATACCCCACCTCCCGTTACTGATCCTGGGTGTGTTGTATGAAATGGCACTGAATCTGACTTTCTTCAATGGTTTTCAAGACCAGTGATAGGTGTGTAGCATTACACATGAAGATACAAAACGTAATTACCAGCACACATTAAGGCATCTATTTTCTACAAATTTTACAGAACCATTCGCCCTGCAACTCCCTGAATGTTCTTTCTGTGTGAATACTGGCAAAAACAATGGCCGCCTCCGCTCCATCTAGTGCCCGTAATGCCGTATTTTCTAAATGTTACATTTGATATGAAAAGAAAACATAAGAATGTATTGGGGGTTTTTTTGCCTCTGTTTGCACTGAACAAAGGTTCATAGAGATTCGCAGGGTGAATAGTTCTGCAAAGTCTTAAGAGGACCTTTTACCCAGATCTGACAAATAACAAAACGCATCTTTAGAAATGTTCAGTAATAATCTACAAACGGATACTTCTAGATAATGTCCGGCTTTTTATTCTTTGCATTTCTTTTCCTCTATCCTCTTCTCACGGTGGTCATTTTTTTTACTAAGGGCAGATTCATATATTTCCCTTTCCTTCCTGGAACTCTGGCACATGTGTCCATGCACATCATCTCGGGGGAAAAAAATGCCTTTCCCTGGGATCACCCAGAGATTTCCCAGCAATGCTCTGCTGATGTTACTGTCCCAGGATGCAACCCTTGGGCACAGATTTCATCATTAATGCACAAGAAGTGGAAAAACAGTGATTGTAAGTAAAAGCAAAATATGTTAACTAATAAATGTAAGATGATTTCATGTCAGCGTGCAGAGCTGCATGCTGATGTGGTTCTTAGTGAAAGGGGGTAAAGATCCGCTTTAATAGAGATATCACTTAGTCTAAAGCAAGAGACATGGGAAGTCTTTGTGGTTTTTTTTTTTTTAGTACATTAGTTTCACTCTACTTCAGCATATCTACTTATTTTCAGCCTTCCATATCTGTTCCAATCTTAATTAAAAAGGTAACCATTTCTTACTGGTGCTATTTGCATATTCATATAAAAAAATTCCATTGGATCCTTGGGAATATGTTTACTTATTCACAGCTGTGAGAGAAAAAAAAGATTCAGCAGGCTGGGCACACACCTTACAACCATCGCAAGAGGTTTGTCTTGCGATGGTTGTAAGGTACTTAAAAAAAACGAATGATCTGCCTATCTTGTGCAGGCAGATCGTACTTGCGATGATCGCAAGCTGTGCCCCCCTGAGGGGCGGGCTTCCGATGACCGCAATGCCGAACGGGCAGTGTGCGCTTGCGCACACCGGCCTGTCCGGCTTTTATCTTACGAACATGCTACACACCTGCCGAACATTGTACGATGCTCGGTGGGTTTTCGAACATGTTCGTAAGTTTAAAGTTGTGCGACCTTATAGTAGTAGAGGTCGCAGGGCTTCCACACACTTTACGATAATCGTATTATCGCATGGTGTGTGGGGAGCTTAAAACATTTCTCACTTTTGGGTGTGGAGGAGGATTGAATCTTTGGCCTGCACTCTACTAGAGACATCGACACCCTCCAACTGGGATTTCGCAGGTGTGGCTCTTCAACAGAGTATGATTTGAATAAAGCTGCCCATACACGGGCTGAACGAGAGAAAACCACTTGATTCCCCCATGCACACCAAATGGATAAAGATGGTGATCGTAAATTCTTCTTTGAGATCCGTTGTTCTTTAAGTTTGCGTTCATGCATGCAGGTATGATTATTTTGCTAGATGTGACTACATGAATGAGTAATGTACAACCTGTTGAATTCTTGACCAGGTACATTTTTTTATGTGCTGTAGGCAATAGATGTATATATTCGAGGCTGTAGAAAATCAGCCCTTGTTCTCTCAAGCCAATGCTTACACGGCCACTAAATGACTTCAGGGATAAAATATAGCCAGTGACTTGTTCATAACCCACAGTGAATGATGACATGACTAACGGTAATAAGCCATTACTCATTCTATTCTTTAACATGATGACCATACTCTCAAAATAAGGCCAAGAAACATCATGAGGGTGCACATCTGAACAGGGTTCATGTTTGGAACTAATTATGTTCTATGCCATGAAGCTCTCACTGTGGTCTCATTATACAAAAATCACTGCATATAATGGTGGAGCTGTTGAAACCGGTTAGTATTCAGCTCATTCTATGGGATAATCTACATGTATATATTTTTTTTCTCTTAAGAGAACGTTACCACTTGACTCCTGCAGGGATATAAAAAGCCATGTGGTGACTTATTCCTCCAGGTTCGACCTATCAATTCAATAGACATGTGCACTGCCAAAAAAATCGTTTCGTTTCGTTTTAAATTCGGATTTGTGTTATTTCGTTTTTCAGGATTCGGGTGTGAAAGTCAATTCGGATTTGGAATTCGTATTCGGACGAAATTCGGTAGCGTTAGTACGAACGTTCGTTTCGTTTTCTGTTCTTATTCGTTTCTTATTCGTTTCGTTCGTTTGCAGCAAAAGTGACATTTGAGGGGGAAAAAATATTTTTCTCCTCTAATGTCACTTTGCTCCAACGAACGAAATGAATAAGAAACGAATAAGAACAGAAAACGAAACGAACGTTCGTGCGAACGCTACCGAATTTCGGAAATGGAAATTCGGATTCGTTTGCATTCGTTATGTCTGTAATTCGGATACATCCGAATGTCCGAATTTACGAAAATTCGTCCGAATTTCGATTCGGAACGAAACGAATCGCACATGTCTACAATTCAATGTTGCTTTTGGATGAATCTGCCCTTTAATATGCAAAGCAAAGGAAGCAACTGTCAACAAATCCAGTCAAGTAGCTAAATACTTAGATTTATATAGCACCAACAGTTTGCGCTTTACAATATAAAGGAAGACATTACAATCACAATTCAAGACAAGATGGTAAGGAGGGCTCTGCCCCTGAGGGCTTACAATCTAAAAACCGTGTCTGGTTTACCTACCATAGATGTATAAAGTAATGTATGCATTCCTCCCAGTTTTGAGGTGCTCTGTGAAGTATTCAAATAGTAACAATGCTTGTCAAGGGCTGCAATTCTACAATACCTGTCTGCTCTTCTAGTGGACTTCAATGCACCGCAGACAACCATACCGCCCTATTCTCTCCTGTAATCCTATGTCCACCCCCTTCCTTGGTAAAACAGGCATTCCTATATCGTTAATGGAACAGCAACTGTTGAACTAAAAAATATAGTTATTAAACTTTTCAATGGGGATTTTACAGTTGTGCCCTAGTCAAAACTTTTTTTAAAGGACAAGTTAGGAAATGTTTAAAAGCAACCCACCTTAATACGCTGAGCCACCCCCACTCCACAGGCATATACTTCCCTCCAATGGTGGCAGCCTCCTGAGTTGTCTACAGCCCGGCAGGTAACAATCCAGTTCTGGAAGGCACACACCTGCTCACTAGCATCCCATGGACTTGAATGAGCCAATAAATAAGTAACTTTTTTAATTTTACTTGTTTTTTTATTGCAATTTGTAGTTATTTTATACATTTTATGTATCAGTATGCTGCACTACAGGGTAAATGAGTCCTTTTGGAAACAAAGGAGAAAAGACCAGTTACCTGCTGGGACTTCACTGCTGTCTGGGAGGGCTAACCCCAGACAAGACATGCAAACTAAACATGTTATACGTCATCGCTGGTCATTAGCGCTGCAGGTCCTTGCTACATCTGTAGTTGTTTGTACTTCTTGGCCAAATCGACGTTCGTTCTACCTTTCTGAAATGGATACGACCACAAAATAGTATTCCAGTGGCGTCCAAACTTCCTCACTCCGTCCAGCAGATCTGTTATCTCCTTTTTAGTGAAATCTTTGCGAGTTCCTCTTTTGGAATTGGTCTGCTCAGGCGTCCTTAGATTCTGTGTATATAATACCAAAACAAGAATCTCCTGTAAAAAGGTTGTTCACACCAATGCAGTTCATTGTACAAAACGCATGTCTAGAAAGCATGAGAAAGCAAAATAAGAGCAGATTAAAGCTTCAAATACAAGTATTTGCTATGAAAAGGAAGTAGTATTTCTCCAACAGAAGTTTATACATACCGTGTTTCCCCGAAAATAAGACACTGTCTTAGATTTTTTTTGACTCAACAAAACACACTAGGTCTTATTTTCGGGGTAGGTCTTATTTTTTTTAATGTACAACAATCCACACTTATTACCGGTAGAAGACTTACAAGACAGGAGTGAGTGGCAAAGTTAAGAATAGGGTGATCAGGGCAGTCAGGGGTGCCGTACCTTTCCAAGAGCAATTTGGTAACCAATCGCTAGCCAGAATGAGGGAAGTGGCTTTCACTATCAATTCCTCACAGGCGGAGTGCATTTGGTATCACTCCGTCTCCGCTATAGAAGAAGCATCGGCTTATGCGGCTCTGCTCCCTCCGCTGCCGCCTCGCTTCCTCTAGCGCTGGCTTCGTGGGCACTGGCTCTCCTGCCTCTCCCGCAGCTCTTCAAGTTTCCCCTTATGCCACCACCGGCCCTGGGAATGGTCACAACTAGGTCTTATTTTCGGGGTAAGTCTTATATTTAAGCAATTCCCAAAAATATCACAAAGGTCTTATTTTCGGGGTAGGTCTTATTTTCAGGGAAACCGGGTACTATTCCAAAACATTACAAGCTACAAATGAGATAGTCAGGGTCCTTATCAGTGCTGGGTTGAGGAACATGAAGAACGTGGAAGTTTGTGCTAGCTGTCCGCACCATCTACAATGTAACATTTTGTATATATAGCAGTCAAAATGTACTAATATTTATGTTAGATCACATGTAAACATACCTAAAAGGGGTAAAGAAAATGATACCATGTGTTCCCTGCTCAGAGATGCAAGACACAAGGCATAAAAGCAAGACAGTTATCTTATATCTTTAACAGGTCCTCGTGTTTTTTATTTAGATGTTTACCTTAAAAAGTTTTATCATTTTTTTTTTAAATATTACATTTTTATTAAGATTTAACAATGTTACAGGAGGAGGCATAGTCACCATTCATCCATAAAATCCACATTATAATACGACGAACAGGTTAGGGCTAAGTAATAACCGATTATCTGGTCAAGCCCCCAGAGGAGTCCACATCCATAGAACCCCATCACAAAAACTCTGCAGAGTCGTAGATGTACCATCACATCACCCACCATCACCGCAAAGCTGGGACCCATCTTCCTAGCTGGAGACCTCAAACATGCACCTGAGAGTGAACAGAAAAAAACGCAGAAAGAGATAATAAAAGAAAAGAAAAAAGAAAAAGAGGGGAAACAAGAGAAAAGGGCCACCTCCTTCCAGAACTGCAATAAGGCAGGGAGAACCCAAGGCCAGTTTAATAAAGAGTTGACGAAATTGCGGTGTCTCCTGAAAGAGGATCCAGGTCGACCAAATAGCAGAGAACTGTGAATTTCTACCGTACAAATGGGCCGTCAACTCCTCGTGCATCACTATTTTTTGCCATTGTACCGCACTGGAACGCAGGGCATTGTATTGCATTGCAGGCAGGGGGCGTGTCTGCAGTGCCATTGGCATGAATGGTACTGTCACGCCCCCTCACGGCCCAGATTGCAAGGAGACTTTGTAATTGCCTCCCTTGAGTTTTGGGCACGGGGCAGTGCGATCAGCGCACGGGCTGGTGGAAACACGCCCTTTAGGTCAAATGTAATGTTAAGCAATATTATGGCCACTAGATGGAGCTGAGGAGCATTGGAAATACATACTTGTATTCTATGCTTCCTACCTCCATCTAGTGGCCATAATGTTGTATTACATTACATTCAAGAAGACCTACTAAGAACGCTCATTTTTGCATCTGTTCACACAAAGCACACATTCACAGAGATTTGCAGGGCAAATGGTTCTATGAATTGTTTATAAACAGCCTCTTAAGTGTTAGCTCCACTGCATCCTGTTACAAATTCTCTCACACATAAGCTAAGGGTATTTGTACGGAGCTAAGATATCAGGAAATACTAAACAGCAGGGCTGGAAATCTAAGTATAATGTTACTCGCATTCTGCAATCACAACGCTCTACCCCAAAATAACAGTTTGAATGGAGGACTTTTGGAAATCCAACCCACCTCATTCCCCCAGATATCCATAACCCTGCTTTTTGTAATCCACATCAATAAAAGTCTACATTGATGATAAATGGATTCCTGTACCTGAACTCTCGGAGACTGGAGTTTATTATTAACGATTTCCTGTTTTTTTCCAGGTGAACCTTTCGGTTGTTCCATGTCTAAATCAGATTTTATTACCGAAAAAAACATCCGCATTAATACAATGGCAGAGATTTCTCATTAGTGTCCAGTGGCTATTGATTGGAATCCTGGCAGCTTTACAGCAAACTGTTTAATTATTCCTATTGCTTATCTAGAGTTGCACTGACTGTGGAAAAAGCAACTTTTGCAATTTAAATAGAGCCGGAGCAGAAAGGGGAAGTGGTGGGTGAAGGCAATTCACGTTTTTGTAAACAATTAAAACATTCTTTGTTTTAGCGATTCCGATATTTTTAAACTTGATCCAAAAAAAGAGAATATTAGTGAAAACAATTGGTCTGTCTTTGATCTTGGATGAGGGTTTTAAAAATGGTGGAGCAAAAACCACTGGCTTACCGGGAAGGGGTACATGGAGGGGCCTTGGATTCATGAACTGGACAGTACTGTGGGAGAATGTACCCAATGTCTTCCCCCATACCTCCCTATTAGTCCATTAATCATGTGATGGAGGCATCACTGACAAACGCAGAGGCTTAGAAGGGGTCTAGGCAAGCTTGGCTTTTACATGCATATACATTCAGATGACTGCATCTCTCCATCTACTGATCGTTGATGTCAATTTTTCATTAAATGTATCTCGTGCTCATGCATTTTTTCATCATATGCTCAGTTTTGTAGCCCAGAATTGCTTAGCCATGGACGGAACTACAACACTGCTACCCATGGATTGATGTTATGCTGTGCGATGCTTTAAATACCCCATTAGGGAGTTTTTCATTCACAGGCTTGCCATGTGTAGATGGCATTTACCTAGAATTTATTTTTTTTCCTTTTTGGAGAGGCTTATTTGCATACAGGTGGTAATCGACATTCTAAAGTCTGTGCTGGTGATACACAAATGACTAGCGTCTATGACAGCCTATGCCTATCTCTATTAGCACCAGATCTGAGCAGACAACCCCTGGCCTCTCATTTCTTGAATGGGCAATACAAACATTTTCCATATGGGGATTAAGATTGTTTGATGGTAACTTATGTACGTGTCCAGCTTCATTTCTGACATCTTGTTGATTTGGAATTTCAGACTTCTCAGACATTGGTAAATGTGGTGTATTTTTCAAAAAAATATAAATCCCATGTTTTCCATGTAGGAGCGAGGAAGAGGAGGCGCTACTGGACCCAGTATTACATACGTATGTTTAAATGTTAGGTGTATGTATGCTAAGTAATGTGTAAGTGTAACATCTATGGGTATTTAATAGGTCTCATAAAGATCACAGTACTCGGCCCGACAATGCCGTCATCTCCGACTTTTAAAGCAGAACTACAGGCAAAACTCTTCTTAACCCTCGCAGAGGCGCTACCCACACTGTAAAGCCCCGTTCACATTGAGCGATTTATCGCGCCGTAATTCCCGTGATATCGCGGCAATTTACTGCGCGATATCGCTCTCCAATGCTTCTCAATGGGGCAAAGGGTCCTGCTGTCGCGAGTCGTGCGTCGCTACAGCAGGACCCTTTTTGGAGCGGATTTAGCCGCGATTCTCGCTTGCTCGATGCAAGCATTTGTGCGATATCGCGCGACAAACGCGCAATTTGCGAACCGCTCAATGTGAACGGGGCCTAAGGGTTAAGTGCTAATTTTTGTCTAGGTGGTAAAAAAATGAAATTTTTCTTAGACCGGTCCCTGAAGCCTCTCTTCCATTCCGCTGCAGTGGTCTAAGGATCCTTGACTCATCAGATTCTGTATAGGATGTGAGGACACCGAGAGGCATACCATCACTGCAGCGGAGTATGAAACAGGTTACCAGAGTAGCAGTCAAATACTATCCTTGTTGCACTCCTTACCGAAAAAGTCCCTTGTAGTGGGGGGTGCTTGCACTGACTGCGGATGGCCCCGGAAATATCAGCAAATTGTAGAAATGTCACCAGCACACCAGTCCTTTTAGGATAGCAAAAGCTTCATTTATTGAAGTTCTTTGTCAGAACAATAAATGAAGCTGTTGCTATCCTAAAAGGACTGGTGTGCTGGTGACATTTCTACAATTTATTCAGAGTAGCAGCCAGCCGGCTTTGCGGTTCGGGTTAATACAACAGGTTTTTTTTTCAGCACAAAAACAAGCACTTAACCCTTGTGGTGCAGGGGTAGCCCCACTGCAAGGGTTAAGAACACTTTTGCCCAAAGTTCTTCTTTAAACTGTAAAGTCAGTATTTCCATACAAAGCACCCCAGCCTCTGAGGTCCCTACTGCTATCTGGATGAACAAAGTACTTCTAGATGCCCACAGTTACCCAAGTGATTGGGATACTTGAAATTGAACCATTAATATTGATTGTAGATCAGTGTAAAGTTTCTGAACTATTACTACTACTACTAATAATAATCATAATAATAAAAAAGAAATGAATGACATTTTGGGAGAATACTAACCTTGTGCGACGCGCACTGTATTATCAGGATACTGGTCTTTTTGTATTTTCGGTCTCATAGGTGTCAGCAAAATACCTGTAACACACACAATCAAGCTGTACAACATTTTATCCATAAAACAAAAGAAAATAAATGTGCTGTTCATTTAGTAATTTTGCTATTATGTAAAATCAGCAATAACAGTACAACTTCCAGCTTTGTCAAAGTCGAACTCCAGGAGTTGGGAAGTAGTATTATTAGGTGACTGCAGTTGGAATAGATGTCACCAAATCAGAAAGACACCAACACCAAAAACACAAAGACAAAAAAATAGAGACACGGTCTAACGCTCCACCCTCCAGTAAAGCTGGCCATACATTATGCGAATTTTGTCCGGTTCATGATTAACTGGCCAAAATGTGCACAGTGGGTACCATATTGGCACCCTTTTGGAGGGCATCCCTCGATCAGCCAATCAAAGCAACCGGTTGGCACTTCTTTGAACGAACAGAGCTGGCTGCCAATGAGCGGTCGGCTCTGTTAGGGTATTTTGACAGCGGCCGCCGTCAGAATACAATGAAGACAGTGGGAGATTCCTCCATCAACGCTTGTAAGCGTTGATGGAGGAACCTGTTATATTCTCATCGCTCAGCCCGCGGGTTGAACAAAGAAAATATTACAGTATATGGGCAGCTTTAGTGGCCACATAGAGATTTCCATTACTTCCTGTCCAGTGACACTCAGAAACCAGGATAGGAAGCAATGGGAAAGCTCTCTAACTAGGGCAAAGATACAACACAAATGCTGGCAGACATTCCAAACCTTCCTAACCCCTGGCCCAAATCTACAACACATATTACAATATTTAAAGGAGAACTGAGGTGAGTGCCTTTCACTCACCTCATAGTTCTAGGCGACCTGTGACAATGAGACTGTCACAGGTCGGCTCAGTAGATCGGGTAGTGAGCGAACACATACCGGTGTTCGCTCACTTCTCGATCCTGTCATGGCTCTCTGCCGTGACAGGGGAGGGACTGGATTCCCCCTCCTTGATCCTCCAGCACTGACTGGCGGAACGGACGGGGGAGGGGGCGGGTACAGCTGGCTCTGCCCCTAGCTAGGCAGAGCCAGCTGTCACTCACGCAGCTGGGCGGATCCAGACATAATTGTCGGGATCCGCTTCAGCTGCGGCGTCTCAGTATACCGCGAGCTGTAGCTCCCTATATACGGAGCTTAGGATGACGGGAGGACGCTAGTTTGTGTCCTTCCGTTACCCTAAGGGACTGTTCACACGACGTCCGTTTTGTGTGCTGACCGGCTCCGTACGCTGCTGCACTCAAAATGCATCCCAATGTATCCCTATGCATTTTATGGGCTCCAGTTCTCACGTGCGCAGTCCGTTCAGCTTACGACAGAAAAAATACTGCATGTCACATTTTGTCAGGTCCGGAAACGGTCAGGAAACGCAAACGCGTCCAAAACGTGGCAAAAACGCGTTAAAAACGCACTGCACTGCAGCTAACATACTAACAGCCCCACTTTTTTTTTTTTTTTACTTGAACGCATCAAAAA